CACTGCGGCCGGCTGCAAACGGAGCAGGTAGCAGTCGCCGCTCGATCGCCAGCTAACCTCGGTCCTCTACTTTCCCCGCACACGGTCCGGGCCGTCCGATGGCGATCGATCGCGCGGCGCACCGTTCGCTTCGCCTCTGCCCATGCACGTGTGCTGCCATGTTCGGATGTTTCCCCCGGGCTCCGTTTTGTCCCCAGCTTTCGTCGTCGCCGTCCTGGCGTCGATCGATCGATCGATCGCGGGAGGAGAAGCATATGTTAATTAGGCAGCAGGGCAGCAGCAGCGGGCATCATCAGTAGCGGCGGCAGATCGGTCGCGATCGGGTCTCACACCGGCCTTGCACGCACGTTGCGCGTCGTCGGCAACGCGCGAGCGGGGAGCGGTATATTCAACCGCGCCATCATCGGCGGTCCGGCTGTGCGAGCGACGCGACCCACCAGACGTGTCGCCGGCAATTAATTCCCTCCCCTACCAAAGCGAAAGGCGTATCCAATCATTTTGGCCCCTTTTTTTCTCTCAGGTGCATCATGTCACGATGGCAGGCAGCAGGCTAAGCTACTACGGAGTACTACTGATCACTGTGTACGTACTCCTACCATACTTCCTGATCAGCTCGTGCAACTTTGAACAATTGAACGACCTAGGCGCTGCTACTGCTACTACTACAGTAGCAGCGATGTCACCTATGGGTAGGCATGAGCACAAGCGGCCGGGTCGATCCGACTCCTGGCTCTGCCGATCGAGTGCGGCTTTGACACGACCGGGTTGCTCTCCAGACTCCAGCCATATCTACGCCGTGCATGTACAGCAAAGTTGAAAAAAAAGAACGTGTCCTTTTGGCGTCTTGCCGACACGATCCATCGATCGATCGGCCCTGACACGGGGGCGTCTACATCAGAGAGAACATGCGTCATCCGTGCGTGCTCAAAGAAGATTCGGCGCGCAGCGCGCGAGTAGCTATAGCTAGCTACGCCTACGCACTGGTTGCTGCTACCGCTAGAGTTTAGCTGCGCAGTGAGGAGTAGTATATGAACGACACTGTTGCGACGCCAACACGGCCGGGGATGTGTCAGACCGGCCGAGGGCGTAGCGCGGCGGGCAAATTAGCCGAGACGGACCAGCGGATGCAGGGGCACCGGTGCAGCAGGCAGCAGCTAAGTCCTGTGCTGTGACTCCTACCTCTCACGTGCACGCACGGCAGCCCAGCAAGCGAGAGCGGTCGATGGCGATCGATGTGCTGTGCCGCACCACACCATGAAACCAGTACGGCACTTGAAGAGTGATGCGGCATTTACTAATATTAAGTCGCGGCACCTCGTACTGGGACCCAGTTGTCGGCCTCCCGTTAGCAGTGTGCATCGTGAGTGTGAGTACTGTTCTATCAATCTATCATAGACTAATAAACAATCCACTTCCGACCGTAATAGTACTACTACATTGTGCATTTTTGCTCTACCAGACAGTAGTGGGAAGTGTACACACATTTTCTTTAAGAGATTTGACGAGTGGGACCTGGTTTGCACATGTTTCATTGACACGGTGGTGAGGTGATACGCTTTACACGATGCGTACGTCGTCGATCGTCGTGGCTGGCGCGCGTCGACCGGCGATTCGGCGTGATGATGGCATGGCCGGGACGGGAGTTGCACGTAGCGAGAGCGTACGTGCGCGCCGGCAAGATGCCCATTGATCCCTCGCTTCGTGTCGACCGGCTGCATGCCGTGCCACCCCACGCCATGATGGGGGCCGGAGGAGCATCTCTAGCTTTGTTTGACTCCAAATAACCAGTGGGGAGGCATGCGCTTCAATGCGATGCTATCGGACTGCATCCGTCTATGGCTGTCTGGATAAAAAGATTTGCCACGTCACATCGGATGTACGGATACATATTTAAAATATTAAATATATACTAATAATAAAATAAATTGTAGATTCCATCTATAAATTGCAAGACGAATTTATTAAGCCTAATTAATTCGTCATTAGAAATGCTTAATGTAGCACTACATTATCAGATCATAAAACAATTAGGCTTAAAAGATTCGTCTCGCAATTTACACATAATATGTGTAATTAGTTTTTTTTTCTATATTTAATACTCTATGCATGTGTCCGAATATTCGATGTGTCAGGTGAAAATTTTTGAAAGGGTATGCTCGTGCCCGTCTTGTGTTGCCACCCCCATTAATTTGCTGTGTCAGAACCGGGGTTTTCCTTGTCGAATCCTAACTGTGACAAGGGGTGGTTCGGTTCAGCTGGACAGTTCCTGCACAGCCACAACGATGTAGCACTTTAGGGCTTTTTGAATTAAAGGATTTATGTAAAAATTTTATATGATTTAAATTCTGTAGGAAATTTTCTTATTTGGCCTTTTGTTTTAAAGGATTGAGGCCCCTTTGAATTAGAGTAAAAATGGAGAAAAAAATAAAGGAATTGAAATCCTACACTATTCATGACTTTGATTCGTAGAAATGAGAAAAGGAAAAATATATGTAACTTTCATGTTCTTACGATTCTATAGGAAAAACGTAGAAAATTTAACATCCACTCTAAGAGCCCCTTTGATTTGTAGGAAAAATGTAGGAAATTTAAAGGATTTCAATCCTATGAAAAAAAATTCCTATGAAAGCCTTTGAAACAAAGGATTGAATTCTATACTATCCTTTAAAATTCCTATGGAATGTATAATCCTATAGAGATTTTGGAGGAAAGTTAGCAAGAGGTCCAACCTCTTGGAAAATTTCCTTTGAGTCTATCTCTCTCATCCGATTTCTGCGTTTTTCCTGTGGTTCAATCGAATAGTCATTCTTATGTTTTTCCTGTATTTTCCAATCCTCTGTTTTACATCTGCATTCCTATCAGAATCCTGTGTTTTTTCTATTCCTGCGATTTAAAGAGGCGGGCCCTTTAAATCATAGAAATAAAAAAATGAAGGAATAAGAAAAATATAGGATTCTGATAGGAATACAAGTCTAAAACAGAGGATTGCAAAACATAGGAAAAACATAAGAACGACCGTTTGATTGAGCCATAGAAAAAACACAGGAATTTGAGGAGAGATAAAGACTCAGGGCCCCTTTGATTTGGAGGAAAATCATAGGAATTTTGGAGGATTTCAATCCTATAAGAAAATTTCCTATGAAACCCTTTGAAACAAAGGATTGAATCCAATCCAATCCTTTGAAATTCCTATGGAATGAACAATCCTATAGAGATTTTGGAGAAAATTTAGCAAGAGCTTCAACCTCTTGGTAACTTTCCTTTGAGTCTATCTCTCTCATCTAATTCCTGCGTTTTTATTGCGGTTCAATCAAACGTTCATTCCTGTGTTTTTCCTGCGGTTCAATCAAACGTTCATTCCTGTGTTTTTCCTGCGTTTTGCAATCCTCTGTTTTACACTTACATTCCTATCAAAATTCTACGTTTTTCCTATTCCTACGTTTTCTCAATCCTGCGATTCAAAGGAGCCCTCAAAGGATTCTTTCTATGAGGTTCTACCTCATGTTAAATTTCCTCCAAAACCTATATGGGAAGAGACATTCCATAGGAATTTCATAGGATTCATTCCTTTGATTCAAAGGGCTATATAGGAAAAATTCCTATAGGAATAAAATCCTCTAAAATTTCTATGAAATTCCTTTGAAATAAAATCCTCTAAAATTCATATGAATTTCCTTTGAATCAAAGGGGGCCTAACCTATTAGAAAATTTTCGTTGAGTCTATTTTTCTCATCTGATTCCTATATTTTTCCTATGTTTTGTAATCCTCTGTTTTACACTTGCATTCATATCAGAATCATGTATTTTTCCTATTCTTCCACTTTTTCAATATTGCGATTCAAAATGGCCCTGAAACTTTCCAAATCCTATGAAATTCCTATGGAATGACACATTTCATGTGGATTTTAGAGGAAACTTAGCAAGAGGTTCAATCTCTTGGAAAATTTCTTTTGAGTCTATCTCTTTCATCCGATTCCTGTGTTTTTCCTGCGGTCTAATCAAACCTCATTCTTGTGTTTTTTCTGTGTTTTGCAATTATCTGGTTTACACTTCATTTCCTGTTAGAATCTTATGTTTTTTCTATTCCTCTATTTTTTCAACCCTACGATTTAAAGGGGCCATTAGTATAATTTTTTGCTTGTTGAGTCTAGTAGTTACGCTGTTATCATAGATAGATGTTCCGAACACACCTAAGGTTTATCGGTTATTCATCGATGATAAGTAAAACCCTAATAAGAACAAGATAATTTTATCTTCGTTCTAAAATTAAGCTATTCGTTCAATGGTGGATCCAAGACCCGACAACCCAGAGTTCGGGCTCATTGTAAGGTCTTGAATTTATAGTGATTAACGAAGTTTATAATTGTTGTTGTATTTGCAATCAAAAAAGATTTTTGGGTCCGTCATTGGTGTAGAAACGGAGGGTGTAATTAATCTCTCTATCAAGAAATAATAATAAAAAAAGACACAGTTACTATCTCCGTCTCAAAATAAGTGCAGCCGTAGATATCCGTGCCCAACGTTTGATCGCCTGTCTTATTTAAAAAATTTGTAAAAAATTTAAAAATATTTAGTCACACATAAAGTACTATTAATGTTTTATCATCTAATAGCAATAAAAATACTAATCATAAAAAATTTTCAAATAAAACGAGCGGTCAAACGTTGAACGTGAATAATGTAAAACTGCACTTATTTTGGGACGGAGGGATTACTAATATCTGCTGACCAGACAGGTTTGCTGCGAGTGCAACAGCGGGTCCAGATCAAAACACGTGTAATTTTCCTGATCGTTCATGTGGGTAGTCCTGCGTCGTTTCTCGTGGAATTCGTCTAAAAACCTCCGCGTCCAAACACGGCATCATTCTTCGGTTCCTTGCAGCAGTTTTTGGAAGGTAGCAATGCACGCCGTGTATGCATGTATCGCCGCGCAGAGATCCACACCTTAATCGAGTGCTTGCCGCTTGCTAGGCTAGTGTAGCCATCATGCCCATTGCCACTACACCGAACAAAAAATACTCCTCCCATCTATGTTACCACAGTGCTACTACACTGCACATTATGCGTGCGTACACAACACAACCCAAGAGTGTACACAGTAGTACTACATAGCTGCTACCTACTCTTCACTTTCACCATGTGAGCAAGCATGGCACAGCATGGAATTTGGCCAGCTACATATGCAAGTATATGCAGGAAAATTTTGCTGGTTATGGGGGGTATGGGTGCTCAAGAGTCTGCAAGCTCCATGATAATTTTTCACCACCCCCTGACACGGCCAACGTGTCTGGATTTCTTGTGCTAGCTGGTATGGTTGGCCGGGAGGAGGGGAGAAAAAAGTTTTCCATGGGGCGAATTGATGCGCCACATTGACCGGCCCTGTTCTGCCTTTTTGCCAAAGCCCATTCATTATGCCCACGCACATCTAACTTTCTGCCCCCCTGCCCATGTACTTCATTGCATCTGCCTTCTACCATCATGCCTTTCTAGAAACCATGCAGCTCATTATTTGCTGCCCCTGATCTGATCAGGCAACAGCTTCTTCCAACAGGCACAGCTTTTTATTTATTCAAATGGAGATGCAGTACGTGCCATACGTATATAATATGTGTATGGGAAATGAAGCAGGGAGAAGCTTCAGCCCAATTATGATCCTGAAAACAAATTAGCAATGCAGCTAATGTACATTGGTTAAGACCATCGAAAAGATTGTCACAAAGCACAGGTACCTTTGTCAAATGCAGCAATGACAACCGGTTTGCTGCGGCATAACATATGCATCCTAACAATTTCTTTTCCAGGGAATCTTTGCTTGCAATGCGAACTTTCCCCCCCTTAAAAAGATTTTTTAAAAAAGGGAAAGCAAGCTAGACAACATTAGCCATTTCGAGTAAGATCTGCCTTTCATTTCCATGATCATGATCGCTAACATTGTGTAAGTAGCAGTAGATTCTACCTAGTGGGCGGCGGGATCGGTAAAGATCTCTCCGAGGGAGGGAAAAGAAAAGGGTGAGGTTGGCATGAGCACAAGAACTGGGAATCCAAATGATGGCTTTGCTTTTAATTGGTGATCATGGTTGTACGCTCGTACTCCCCTGGAATCTTAATTGCCTGTCTCCATGGGCAGCAGCTTGCAACTGCAAAGCAAAGACGACTCCATGCATCCATTGAAATGGATGGCCATGACAGTTGAGGTCGCTACTGCTACCGGGTCACAGGGAATCATTACATCGATGAAAATATGATTTCATACGTACATCATCCATACGTGCAATGAAATTTTCTCAGGCTTTAGACAGGAAGTGTTTTAAAGGCCACAAGAGCAACAAGATCGTTCCCGTATCCCTGCATTAAAATTTTTCAGGTATTTAAAAACTGTACATACCAGATTGTACTGTCGTTGTACCGGTCACCAGCTCTGGTTCACCGTGTGCCTGCTCCAATCTCTGTTCTTGATTATTCAAAAGATGTGCCAATCTCCTGTGTGCTCTGAAAAAGGTATTGCCACGACTAACTTAGGCTGGACCATCATTCATAGTCCATCTGGGAAAACATAATAATACCGTTAGAGCAGGTACAATAGCAGGCTATAAGCCAGTTATAACATATTTTAAAGAGATAAAGGAAGAGAGAGAAGAGCAGCGGGCTACAGATCTATAGCCAGCTACAGCACGGACTCCAAAATGTAATGTGTGTATGACAGGTGGGACTAGGTGTTAATTGTACGTAAGCAACTATTGTATATATTAGCTATTACATTGGTTATAGATGATTTGAAACTATTAGAGGGCTATACTATTAAACTTGATCTTAGAGAAACAATGCAAATATGCAGTTTGATCCATATAAATTTCACTGATACGAAACGGAGCTTGAGAGTATGTGCAGTGCAGTCCTCTTCTCCGTGCCTCGACGGACCACACATCTGATGCCAAGTACCAGCTTGCATTTGTGAGTTCCGAAAGGGCATAAGCGTAATCCGGCTGTCTCCACGCATGTCTCCACAAGGATCCCCCTGTGCAAGCTAGGGCCAAGCCTTGTGTTTAGGCCAGGGAGCTGTATTAGCTGCAAAGATTGCTATCTTATATATGCAGCCTAGAGAGTCCAGGACTCCAAGCTGTCCAACATCATTGCCCGCTTCTCTTTTTCTTCCTCTCCCATTCTCAGCTCCAATCCTATTTTTGCTGTCAAATACTACTACTACTACTCCCTCCGTTACTAAATATAAGTATTTTTAGAGTTTTTCATAGGAACTAAGAAGGTGAAATTAAACAGAGATGGTTCTAATTAATTAAAGATGAGGGAGTACGTGAAGAAATTAAATGGCAGGTGATTGTGATAGGTTGAGATGAAAAAGTTGATAAAAAAGTTGCTATATTCTAGAACAAATTTTGAACGCTGGAAGTTGCTAGTAGGATTGTGATTGCAAGTAGGATTTTTCTTCACAGATTCTGTTACTTGTAACAATCACACTATCATACTCATCAAGATGCTTTTGAAATCAATAACAAGCGTGTGATATAGGCCAAGGGGAAAAGGAGGGAAAAGAAGGTATACATGAGAGGGATATGTCATAGTCATACGGCATGCAGTAAAAATTGGAGGTGTGTGTGTGTGAGAGAGAGAGGAGTGTAAGGAGAAGCCACAATTGTGCGGCATTCAATTGGGTGGTGAGGGGATCATGATCACCTGAGGGTGGTATTAAAGGAAGGGGGTGCAGTAAGTAATAATAATCCTGGTAAAAGAGGAGGGGGAAGAAAATGAAAAAGGGGAGAGGAGGGAATGATGAGCGAGGACCCGGAGATGAGCCATCATTACGAATCTTGGGCCGTCCAAGGCCCATCATCATCATCATTTGAAGCCTTCGTCGTACCTCTCATTCGCTTGCTCACACCGTCTTCTCACTCTCTCATTCGCTCTCTCGCCATTTGGCTTTGGCCAGCTGAATCATTAGGGCACAACCAGCTAGCACAAATTACAGCGGCTGTCCCTTGTCAAAAGGCTACAGAAGAAGTTCTTGACTCTCGCAATGCAACGAGATGGTTGAGAGCATCTCTAAAATTGAGAGAGGAGCTAAATTAATTTGGTTCTTCCTACCTTCATACGAAAAAGCCTCTCTATCCATCACATATTAACATTCCGCTCTATATTTCTGCATACTCTAACATGTTCTTTATATCCCACATTCCTACCCTCCATAGAATCAGATCAACAAAATTTCAATCAAAAATAATTCATAACATCAGTCAACAGAGAAACACACTACCATTTCAATTAAGGCAAAATTGGTTATATAGCATCGAAAGTTCACGTTTTTGGTTTTATAGCACCGAAAGTTACCGGTTCACTTTAATAGCACCCAAAGTTCACTATGTTCCCATTTTTAACACTTCCGTCAATTCTTGATCGTTTTCCGTCCGTCTTGATCCAGCCACACACACGATATGACGTTTCTACCCCTCACAAGTACAAGTATAATGCATGTCAATGAGGGGTAGAAATGTCATATCATGTGTGTGGCTGGATCAATAACGATCAAGACGGACGGAAAAATTGACGGAAGTGCTAAAAATGGGAACAGGGTGAACTTTGGATGCTATTAAAGTGAACCGGTAACTTTCGGTGCTATAAAACCAAAAACGTGAACTTTCGATGTTATATAACCAATTTTGCCTTCAATGGTCAATTAAATTCATTCATAGCAGAGAGAAACGCAAATCTCACCCTCTTCGTCTAAATCCAATGAAGGGAAAGGAATGAGAGGAAGACGTGGTTGGAGCAATGGATTAGTTAGTTAGATGGGATGGGAACACATATGGATAGTCTATTAAAACCCCTTTTGAGATGGAGAGCCGTATAACCACTTCTGTTAGAGAGATTCTTCAACTATGCAACCGTTCCAATATATAAGCTTTTTTTTAAGCATATGGGTAATTTTACTATTCTTGAGAAAGTATCTAGAGTTACCATACTTTCTAGTGTAAAATTTAGTATCTCTAGATACTAAGTACGAAGTATCTCAAGGTAACTAAAAATTTTAGTATAAAATTTATGTACCTAATTTAGGTACCTCAAGTACTGTAAAATTCCTCTAACCAGATATATAGAAAATGCTTATATTTTGAAATATCGTCCAGGTGCATAGTAAAAAAAATTCCTTGTATATCGGAGCAGAAGAACTATCTTAAGCATTGATAAGAACGTACGTATTTTTTGTGTTTAATAAATAGGAATGGATTGTTGAAGGGGGGAAAAGAGTGCGGCGGCCTAACGATGTTTTCACATCGGCACGAGACGGCGAGATTAGCCGTGCCGTGGTGCAATGGAGCGGGCGGGGTGACGGTGCCGGCATGGTGGTGTGCAGCGGAGGGGAGGAGAATAACGCAGCCACCGTCACGTGAGGGCCGGACCCCCACGGAACCTCATCATTAGCCACCATTTACGCCGTCCCCTCGTTCCCTCGCGTTCAAAGTGCTCGATCATGAGAGCGGACGGGACAATCCCCCCATAAGAGAGCAGGTAGCAGGCTATTAGCCAGCTATAAACATATTTTAATAAGATAAACGATAAGAGAGAAGAGCAGCGGGCTACATATTTTTAGCGGGCTGCGGGCTACAGATTTGTAGCCAGCTGCAGCACGGATTTTAAGAGGCAATGTGTATATGACAGGTGAGATCATATATTAAAATATTGTAAACAACTATTGTATGAATTGGCTATTAAATTGGCTATAGATGAATTAGAGCTAGTAGTGGGCTATACTATTGAACTTGCTCTAACTCGTACGTGCAACGCCCAATTCTTAGGTGGCCCGCGCGTCAGCGAGGGGGAAAGAGCTTCGTATCCACCAACGAACGGCGACGAGCCGGACGGACGGGAAGGGAGGCTTTTCTGCGCCTATAAATAAGCCCCACCACAGAAACGAGCTAGCAAGCACAGCACGCACAGGAAGGCAGGAGGAGAAGCACGCACATACCAGCAGGAGGTGCAGGACTGCGTGCTCCTTCTCGTTGTTCCTTACTCACCTTTTGCCTCTCGCTGCCTTGCCCCACAGCGACCGGTCTCGTAGCTTAGGTAGTAGTAGCCCAGCCTCTCGCATCACTTCACACTCGCTGCCCACCCTGCCTCCTCTGGTGTCGCCGCTCGACCTCTCTCGCCTCTCGTCTCCAACTCCCCAGCAGCGAGCAGCATCTTCATCACAGCTCTCAGCTCCCTGCAGAGAGGAGGTGATGTTCTATTAGTCCCGTCACTTTTGCTTTTTTTCTTTCTTTCTTTCTTTTCTCTCTTCCTTTCATGGTGATTTGCTCTTCTTGTTTGCATGCATGCACAATCATGCGCGGGGGTGTCAAAATGGGGCCTTCTCCTCCACTTTCTCTCGGCGTAACGCCTTTGCGCTTGGCACGCTTTTTGTTTGTTTCTGCTTTGCATGCAATCTGCTTCCTCCAATATGGAGTACCACCTTTGGTTTGTTCAAGCTGTTTTCTTTTTCCATTAGTAGTTGGAAGAGCATGTTAAATATGTATTATTAAGTGTGACCCTACTTGGCTAATTCACTTTCTTGATTACGTAGAAGCTTCAGTGTCTATTCTGTTTTGGCCTCACAATGTGAAAATAATAAGAAAGTAATATAGCAGCAGCTTCTTACAGTACCTCTGAGGATGTAGCCAAAGCAGGGACACCCTGAGTATGCAGGATAATATTTATCGGATCTCGAGCACAATAGTCCACTGTTTCAGCTTCGATGTCGTCTTTCTTCCCCCCTCTCTGCAGCCATAGCAGAGTACATATAATATGAGACTCGAGCATGCGAAAAAGCAATTAAAAAAAAACGTACCGCAACATAAGTCCAAAACAGGGGTCCACACAGTGACGCCACATGGCTGCTAAACTTCGTTATCCTGTTGTTGTTGGTAGCAGGGCACAAGATGGACAGGCTGAACGCGAAGCTGTACCTGCAGAACTGCTACATCATGAAGGAGAACGAGCGGCTGCGCAAGAAGGCGCTGCTGCTGAACCAGGAGAACCAGGCCTTGCTCACCGAGCTCAAGCAGCGGCTCGCCAAGACGAAGGCGGCGGCGGCGGCGGCGGCCGCGACCAAGGCTAACGGCAACGGCAACATGCCCGCCGGCGGCGGCCGCGCGTCCCTCCCCGACCTCAACTCGGCTCCGCCGGCGCACGGCCATGACAAGGCCGTGCCCAAGTCCAAGAAGACGGCCGCCAAGTAATGCAGCTTCGTGGCTGTCATGAACTCATGATCTATGTAGTTTGTAGCCGTCAAGAGTTTTAGCTCTGGGTGTTAGGAACGTTTGCTTAGTGTTTTTAGCCATGGAGCTGCATGCGCGCCTAGTGGTTTGTAGCAGGGTCCTTACGGATGGATATATATATAAGCTAAATCAACTAGGAGTATATATACATAGTTGGGTCGCTGTGTGCTTACTACATGGCAGTGATGTTTCAGCAGCTCTTGCTTTCCTGTCCTGGCTTTCTTGAGCACCACTCGAGCCAGAATATGGCAAATGTCATTTACTGCTTGTTTGATGATAATGTGCCGGTCTAATTTAATGCATTATGCTAGTACTTTGGATTCTGCCTATCCGTATATTGAAGACCTTTTTGTGCAAATTAAAGTATCATAAACACGTTAGTAGTTTCAAATCAAGCACCAAAACTAAGTATGGAGGTTCTTTATTAGGGATATACTCCAAAGGATTAAAAAAACAAAGATCACATGATCTCTATTTAAGATGGCCTAATGAAATGTAGATATGGTGCTGATCGAACTCAAACTGTACAAGAATTGTTGGCTTAATTTAATAAAAATGGAACTGGGGCTGATGCCCTTATGCCTTTTCCTCAGCCTTTAAAACGTACTCCCTGCTTTTATAAGTAGTATTTTGATTTCAGAAAGTCAAATGTGAAAGATTTTGACTAATAATTAGTTAACATAAAAGTACATTTAGTGTATAAAACTTGTACAATTAGATTCATACTTCAAAATACTTTGATTTGTTATCATACTTAATGATTAAACACAAAGATTTTTTAGGATTGCCCACATTCATATAGATGTTAATGAATCTAGACATGTACATGACATAACTTTTGCCCTTCTTTAAAAAATAGTTAAACAGTAAGATATATGTATACCTCTCCATACTTTCTAAGGACCATAAAAGAGTCACTATCTAAAACCTATACTAGAAACCTCAAGGTCAGCGTAACACAGCAGAAAAAAAAAACAAAAACAAAAACAAAAACACAACATCAATACACTAACCTCCATAATGATTCTCTGCCTCTGTATGGAGCAAGCAAAATCAATGTGAAGTAAACAGTCCCCATCTACTAATAATATGCCAATGAGCAAATATGAAGTAGTAATCTCCAGTAGTAACCTGCCAATGAGAAAAAAAAGGCATCTCAGCATGTGGAACACAATGATGTCAAGTACTCCCTCCATATACGCCGTTGACTTTTCAAACAACGTTTAACCATTCGTTTTATTCAAAATTTTTATGCAAATATGAAAATATTTATGTCATGCTTAAAGAACATTTGATGATGAATCAAGTCATAATAAAATAAATGATAATTATATAAATTTTTTGAATAAGACGAATGGTCAAACGTTGGATAAAAAATCAATGACGTCATACATTAAAATATGGAGGTAGTATTTATTAATCACACTAGCTATCAGCTATAATATGCTGATCACCTGAAATCAATTGTTAAAATTTTTGGCTACACTAGAGAACACATATTGTGTTCTTTAAAGTAAACTACCATAGTCATTACTCCATATTGGCGATGAATGCTACATTTGCAAATGTCAGTACAAAGTGCAGAGCTTAACTCTAAGAGAATATAACACTGCATTATAATTGTTGAGTTTGATTATGTGTTTGTGAGTTGCTCACAAGCCACCAAGTTCTATTAGAACAAATTTAATATATATAGCATATAGTATAAAATCCATTAGCTCAACATTCCTGAGCTGCACAAGAACCACTGTACATTTCTTATCATGACTTTGCTTTTGTCCCACATATCCAAGAATCCAGGAGCTATTGACAGAACATACATTATCACCATTCCTCGATCACATCAACACATCATCCTCTGCTCAGCTGCTATCTTCTACTACAGTTTCACCACGAAACATACAACTAAGTACTATAGTGGTATAGCCCTCCACTCAAACCTTTGGTCTGCGCTGTGACCTGTGAATTGTGATTGTAGCACAGGAAAGATTCTGGGCTTACAAGAAGCCTTTATGATACTCTGAACTATATACTAGTACAACCTCATTAAGCAACAAAAACCAGAGTATAGAAATAAACAATCAAGTTCACATAAGTTGGATGTTCATACCAGTCTCACGGCCTACTTGTCGTTTCTCCCCATTTGATTCAGAAGACATGAAAGGAATTCTAAATCAATATCCAATTATCCAAATGGAGTGAAACTATTTTTAACTTTCACAAAAGATGACATGCAAGGGTAATATGTAGGACATGTTGCTTCCGTGGACCATGATTTTGGCCTTGCATTCCCCAAAAAATACCACATGAGGATAATAAAGAGTTCATTTCGGGACCATTTGGTCCGGGCAGCCTATGCAAGAGGCCAAACAAAAACATGAATGCAACCTGGCACCTGCTAATTCTGTAAAAAATACTTGCTCTTCACTTCGAAAATGATGGTTTTGGATGTCAACAGATGTACATCATGAACAAGGACAAGTAGAAATGAGTATAGCTGCACAAGATCATTGCAAAACAGTGCCAGCTACGTATCATGAATCCCTTACAATCAAATGCATCCCAGTACATAACAGATCATTGTCTGTCAGTAACATGTCCGCAATCCCATTTCTTCTGGAAGATTATATCCAAATTGAGATTATGGGGCATAGCAGCATTTAACATTTATATATGTCATTCATGTAAAATATATGGCACTGAGATGTATGGCAACCAGATGAAATACATTTTGAGACTTGTCTTATCCATGACAAAGATACAATACTAGTGGGTTATAATTCTTGTGTAGTGCAGTATACAATAGTATCACCTGACCGACCAGATTCACGGAAGGGGTGACAGAACAACTAGTTGAAGATCAAGCTATCATCCCTGGCTTCAAACAGTTGGTTTTATTGTTTAAGATGATTTTTTTTAACGGAAAGATGAAAAATCTGAAACAATTATACACAAGAAATGCTAGGGAAATGCTCTGGTACCCCTAAACCGTTTTATTAAAAACTACTAACGCTGTGCGAAATCAGGATCAGCGACAACTATATGTGTCAAAAGCTACATCGATAAAATCATCGATCAAAACAGATGCATCTTATCTTAGCTAAAAAAAAATTGGTTACATCAAGTAGGCTACCAGGCTTATACGCAAGCTAAACTAAGCAGGAAGCTTTGTGCCGTTTTCTTCACCTTTTCTTCTTCCTTTTTAAGAAACTTGCATTTTTCCCACTTTCAACCTTTCATGGCAAGAAAGAGTTACATTGATCCGGCGAAAAAAAAAAGTTGCATTCATCCTACAGTTCCGTCAACTTGCCTTAGCACGCCAGTTCCGTCAACTTGCCTTAGCACGCTGACCAACTACAACGCATCAAATCATAAATGTTCTATACTACAACGCATCAAATCATAAATGTTCTATCAGAACAATAGCTTAGCACGAAGAAAATTTCGTCGGACTCAATGACTAGAAAACAAGAAGCCCCTCGTACAACAATCCGCAAGCAAAGCATCCATGTGGCTACAATTCTACTAATTTGGCACAAACCGACCAAGCGCAAGGTCAGCACATGTCAGGCCACGGCCGGGACCAGGTCAGGTAGACAGAGAAATCTGTATTGATGGCAACACCACAAGAACACCTGATTGCTTGTTTGAACTATCTCTGGATGCGGGGCTACCCTCCTCCTCCTCTTCCCCCACACCAACACAAGACCACAAGCATAATGATCACCCCGTATGCAGGCAGGACGCGCAACTTGAGCAATGGAACAAGGCGGGATGGAGGAACACGATCCCCTTTAATTTCCCTACGGAATCATTCCCCGCACGGCGGCATCCGGGGGGAGAGCCCCGCCCCGCCCCTCCCTCGCTGCCGGCGGAAACAGCGTTTCTACCGCCGCCTCTGAACCGATCGCGACTTGGGGTAATTGGAAGCCTATGCACGTGGGCGGGGAGGCGTCGGTGCAACGGTCGCATCAAGAGTGAGAAGTTCGTCGCAGTGGGGGTGCGTACCAGGTTGGTCGCCGTGGCGCGTCGCCGGCCGACCTCCCGGCCTGGCGGCCGCCCGCCGGCGAGAGGAGGGGCCGGCGATTCGTCTCCGCCCTCTCCGGTTGGCCTCTGCTTCGTTCTCCTTCGCGCAGATGGGGTTAGATGGGCTCATTTAGATGGGATTAAATGGGCCGGGCCGAATGAGGAACACACGTTCCTGGGCTTTTTATTTTGGGCCAGACATGCGGCCTCGCTGAGCGCACACAATCCCATCGGTTTCCCTTCTCTTTCCCGAGACCCCGCGTCCCCGCCGGCTGCCGGCGCACTCACGGCGGCGATGCCCGTCGCGGCGGGGGAGGCCATGCCTCCGCTTCCGCCTCTGCCCTGACGGACCCCCTCGCTCCCCTCCTCCAGAATCCTCTTGCGTCCACGAGACCCGCCGCGATCTCGAATTCGCCGCTCCACCCATGACCTACCTGGCGACGTCCCAATCGTTCCAGTTTCCGATGATCGATTGCTCCCGCAACCGAAGGTTGGGGGGAGAGGAAGCTGCAGGGTTACTCGAGGCGTGATCGCTGACGGGGGCCGCACCGCCGCGTGGAGCAGCCGCTCCGACTCCGAGCCATACTTGGTGAGCGATCGGTTCCCCTACTACTTGTCTGAATTCTGTTCGATTAGTTCGATAAGGGATTGCAGTAGATTGGAAGGGGAGTCCGGGGCAAATTGAAACCACCATCAATGATTCTCTATTTTGAAAAGTTGGAGTTGCTGTAGTGTCTGGGAATTGTTCAGTGGTATACAGTATACTTGGTCTGAACAAAATGTAACTGAACGAGCATCGGATTGTTGAATTGTATTGCATATAATATATGTGATAGAAATTAAGTGTACTTTACTAGACATCTCATATATTTTTGAATTATATATGTGATAGAAATTAAGTGTATTATACTACACATTTCATATCTATTTTGTTGATTTGGCATCGATATTAAGTTCCTCATTGCATTGAAAGAGTTGAGCACTTTGAAACCAGTGTTCATCTTCTTCGCAGATATCTTTTAATGCAGTCATCTCTGCAAATTAATAATCCAGATTGCTACTACATTGATTGTTGACAGTATATCTGTTCTTTTATTCTTTTATATCCAATAGGTACATTCCCCATATTAGGATGTTGCGTGGCTGGACATCTTCAAGGTTCCCATTGGAGTCTAGAATGTTGCGCATTCCTTGTGTTGTTTGACTCTTTAATAGGTATTTACTGGAGGCAGTTTTTATTTTTTACTTGCACCCTTTGTTTCTCTTTCTGAGTACGGATGGATGTTTCGTGATTCGCAGTTCCTTGTGGATCAATAGGGCCTGCTAATAGTAATTAGCGTGAGCACGTAACGTGCTAATCTGAAATAGTTTCAGAATGCAATTTTGATGGGTGAAATAGAAATATAACCAAGAAATGTGTTTCAAGTGCACATCAAATTTTGGTAGGGTTATAATATTTTATTTAGGTTACACATAGATGCAATCATTCAAAAGGAAATAATAAATTCCCACGTGCCGTATCCTCTTTGTCTTATAAGAGCAGATATGCTCATAAAAATAATATGAATGCAAACAAATGGTGGCTGGCAATGGCAATTTAGATTTTTATAAAAAATGGCAGAAGCTATGGCAGACTAATCTTTCATATTTGGTGGAATAGCTGGAAGGAGAGAAATAGAAGTATCTTTCAAAGTTTTTCCACCGATCCATTCCAGGTTTCTTATCTCATTAACAATAAGGTTCTTCCGTACTACTAGCTTGAAGAGATTAACTCATTTGATTTATGTTTTTTTATTTTTTTTGGCTCATTCATTCAATAAACGGTATTTCTTGTATGACATAATATAGCCATGCCCTCAGTTAATCTTTCTTTCTTTAGTACTCGCCACATGTCATCTTCTGAAAGTGAGAGGCATGTAAACATACCTTTTCTTCCTCTACTTTAATGCATTAGGCAGCACTCTTGCCATAATTAAAAAATTGTTTGTGATTATTGATAGTTAGTACTAAAAAGTTAAAAAGTGGGTGTAAAGTTTTAGTGTATATATACCCAATTATGCTCTTTTTAAAACTGCATTGTGATGAAGCTACATTCTAAAGGACTTGCTTCAGGAGGCTGCCAGCATTTGTAGCAAACTTCATAACTCTTTTCTGTTATGCTGAAGTACTAGGAGTTTTAAAGATGAACCCACTCCTGTAGATGAATCACACTTCTGGTAATATTGTTGTAGATATCTTTCTTTAGCAAATTTTATTAACATAAAAATACATGTTTGGTAAAATCAATGTTCAAGAAGGCGATAAACGCTAGATGGTCGACGCCTAGATGCCGCTTAAGGCTGACTTGCTCAGGGGTTTCTGAGCAACTACTTGCATATAGCACAAAAGGGTAGACACAATATAACATCATATGAACACATCAATGACGGCATGGAGAGTTGAGAACTTTGTAGATTTCAGAAAAGAGAAATTAATCACAAGCCACGTACATCAAACAACATCAGTCCTCCAATCCAATGCATTCACAGCAGCCGCACCCAACAAACAAGAGAGTAAAATGAACAGATCATCAATTGCAGTAGAGAGAAAGTAGAGTAGAGCCGTAGCAGAGAGCAAGCAAAGCACATAATTCTAAAAGTAAGATTGGAGAGCAAAACCACCAAATCAGGGCAGCAGCCTAATGAGCTGCGGGATGCCAAATCGTGGTGGCCATCCTGCATCTTGCGCCAAATTGTCGCCTTGGCACCAAGTAATGCTGATTTTTAGAGCACTAAGTAAAATGATATTGAAATTTTCAATAAAATTTCACATACTGGCACTTTGTAAGCATTTTCATTATATTTCACATATTTATTTCACCTGTTGTTCACACAGGACTACCCTTAAACAAAATGGAAATGGTGTAGACATGTGAAACTGATGTGTGGCAGGCCCATAGGATAGGATGCAAACACTTAAGGGCCCCTTTGAATCAAAAGATTTATGTAGGAATTTCATAGGATTCAAATCCTATAGGAAATTTTCCTATTTGGCTCTTTGATTCAAAGGATTGAAGCTTTCCAAATCCTATGAAATTCCTATGGAATGGCACATTGCATGTGGATTTTGGAGGAAATTTAGTAAGAGCTCCAACCTCTTGGAAAATTTCCTTTGAGTCTATCTCTCTCATCCGATTCCTGTGTTTTTTCTGCGCTCCAATCAAACGACCATTCCTGTGTTTTTCCTGTGTTTTGCAATCCTCTGTTTTACACTTCAATTCCTGTCAGAATTATGTGTTTTTCCTATTCCTTCGTTTTTTCTACCCTGCGATTCAAAGGGGCCCTTAAAAGGTGTAGTTTCTTAAATCTTATGAAGAAAAAGTGTTGTTCTCCAAACCGTACAAGTGTAGAGATAACTCGGATTTATGAAATCTACACTGTTTTCTCTGTCAAAAGTCTAAGCAAGTAAATATGTACGGGGAGGGAATTTACGTAGAAATGTATGCATAAATCGGCTCTTCTCGGCTGTCATTTTCAAAGATGCAGCCTTGCATGAAATAGAACTTGTCAATAATGTCTAGTTCTAGCAAATCCACTTACAATGTCTCTTTGAGTTTGTTCAACTGTTTTGAAAGAAGAAAATCCCCTGAAGTAACTTCCATCCATCTATTGATCACCAAAGCTGGAACTGTGTGGCAATAATGTTTGGTAAATTTGGAGTAGAAACAGACAACTTGGCCAAAAAACACGTACTATATTTAATAAGGCACACAGGGTTTTGCACATCAATCACCGTACGATATCTGTCATGTATATGAGTTGTAATCCATGATGCATATGCTAGCTAGGTTCACTGGACTTGATCTGTAGTAGGGGGCATGTGCCTGGGGGAATGACAGCTTTTGCAGTGTGCTTCAAACTGTTAGAAGGAAAAATTCACAATTGAAATATTCATGCTTATGGTTACAGTGTTACACTGAAGGGCACTACTGCACTCTAATAGGCATTAGCTGAAACAGCGATCCAGTTTCTGATCATCTAAATAACTTCAGAGCATGCATTGCTAAAATGTACATTATTTTTGCATGACCCGGCAATAACGTAGATTAAGCCATGGATAACTGTGAGTTTGTGAGCAGGACTGCTGCTTCATGCGTGTAATCATGCCAAGGAGTGGGGATGAACAGAAGAAAGGAGTACTCTCATATTCCGGCGGGCTGTGAAGAAGTGGGGTTAAAGCACCAAAGATTAAGACGGTATCCAGGATTCGACACGTCGGTGAGGCTACCTTCAAGTCTGGAGTGGCTCGAAGACCGAGGAATATCCTGTCTGTTGCAAAGACCTAGCAATACTGTAAGTGCCTCTCTTACGTCCCATATTTTTGCCTGTCAAATCTGCGAAATGTCTCGCATGTTTGCTAATGCTAGTTTATTGGAGCACGCTGTACGGCGGTGCTGTTTGATAATTCAAATGGTGTGCCGTCTGGTACACTTAGGGAAACATGACCTGAGAATTAACGACAAAAAGATGCATGTGTGTAGCCACAGTAGTTATCTAACGTAAGTTCCAAAGCTTTCATTTAGCTCATTTCGTTATTAAATCTGCAATAGATTTTCCTGCAAGATAGTGCAAACAGATCAGTAAACACTGGCTGCTGAGATATATGGTTGTAGCAGGAAGATAAAGCCGAAGTACTCTTGCACTCTAGCTAGTATTGCACTCTTATCCAGGCGAAAAGTCTTGCACTCTTGGTAAGATACTACTGGCGGTAGCAGATCGAGCAGCATACTCTTTTTAGTCTCTGGATCGACCGTGGACATTGTGAGTGAACACAGTATGCAATTATTGGCGCCAGATGCTCATGAACACGTAAATGTTCGCCCTTGTTCATAGACTGTCTGGGGCTATAACAAATTAATAGTAAGGTCAGCACTTTTGGCCAAGTGATCAGGATAAAGTAATACTGTATAATCTACTTCCTCTGTCCCATATTAAATTTATTTTTAGCTCCTTGTATTTGTTACAAAATAAATTCATTTTTAGAGTAATTATTGCATCGGAGTTTGTGAAAAGTAGGGAATAATGATATTGAGAGTATAGATAAAGTGATGAATAATTACATTGGGGATATAATAAAGTAGGGGTATTCTAGTCGTTTTCTTTTATATTGATATGTGTGAGATGGGTGAAAAATGAACTTTTTTTGGGACGGAGCTAGTAACAAGTTTTGGTTTGATGTGCTTAATTTGGAGCTGGTGGCGTTGAGAGTTAAGAGACAATGTTGTTGCGGCTTAACTGAACATATCAGGAAATCAACTAAAGTTTCATTTTCTTACAAGGCTAGAGAAACCCATTACTTACCTGGAAACAGAAAACAATTGTTAGTATATGAGAACAAACTAGTGGAATTAATGAACAGTTTAATATTGGGTGTATATGCCCTGGTAGGTGCATGCCGTATCATGCATCACGGATTGTATGGCTAATCTATTGTTAGCTAGTATTGAGTGCCGATGTATTCAAGTGTGATCTGACCAACCTTTTTTAATTTAAAAACAGATGACCCATAAGATTGCTTCTGCTTCCTATATTTGGGAAAGTTAATTTTTTTCCTTTGCCGGGGTATAGTCCGTGGTCCTGGACAAAAGATTCTATAACAATTAACAAATTAAACCCGCTTCAGCGGCTATATGCAATGCCAATGCTGAATATTGGTCAATTGGATTAAAACATATACAGATATATATTACTGAAGAAGGAGCGCACATGCATTATAAACCTACTATAGCTTAGCTTGGATGCTAGCAGTGACAGGAGTATGATATATATCAATTCGGTAATTGTTAATTAGTAACGTACTCCACTTCTTATTACGTGTGAACTTAATGTTACTCAAAAGAGCTGCAAGGTGCAATCCCCTTCTTGTCAAGCCATCTAAATTCGTATGTAGTTTCTTAAAACTACATTATATATTTCGACCTATTAATTATAGCCACAGCATCATGATTTTTATATACTGTGATATTATTATAGTTTCGAACCATAATAATACCATATGCATATATGTCATCTACAGTATCGGTGTAGAATTTGCACATTTTAGTATCAAGCAGAATAATCTCTGATATAAAAAGTATTGCTTCGTGCAGTGATGATGAATGTATACATGTTCTTTTAAGAGAACAAATTACAGCGACAAGGATTGGAAGGTCCATGGACGTCAAAAGGTACGTAACACATGTACTTTCGTCCTATTTCTTTCCTGGACATGTTTGCTTGCTTGATGTATATGCTCTAATAGTAAGCTAGGATTCCAGTGAATATCAATGCCTTTCTTCGTTCTTCTAATGGTACATGTTTAATCCATGGTACTATATATCAGTTAATTTTATAAAGAAATCTACGATAACTAAAGCAAAAATACGATCGATAACATTGAGAATTAAGACACTTTAATGATTACTCCAAAACCTAGTTCTCTCTGTCTCTCTCTAGTTAGTCTGGAGGTTGCAGATTGCATTGTGCATGCAAGGCTGCAAGAGACTAGTGTATTTTCCCCTTATCATCCTAGCTAGATATATTATAGTTCTATAGTTCTGTATACAGTTTGCTGCATTAACGAGCAGACTGCTCTACCTTAATTTGTTCGGCAATATTAACCATTTTACCCGGCAAAACCATCCCATTAAATAATTGTAATTGTATACTCTCTTCGGTCATAAATATTTGATATTTAAAACAAAATCTTGTGAAACTTTTGACCATTAATTGTTTTCTCAAAATGCTTTGTTTAAATGCATCAACTTATTCTAATATAAGATTGATGGGCAAAGTCTTAAAAATTTGACAATTTTAGTTCCATTTATGGCCAAAACTTGTGCAACCATTTACTTGCTCAATTTTTAAATATATAACACTGTTGATTTTTAGATATGATATTTAACCATTCATCTTATTAAAAAAATATGATGCAAATATTTTAAAAAAATATAAGTCACGCTTAACGTATTTTGTGTTAAACATCAAATTTATGACTGGAGGGAGCAATTGATTCATTCACCTGGCTACAGTACGCAGTACGTTCCGTGTGACAATTTTCGTTTCATTTTGTTCATTTGCATTTTATATTAATTCACGACAGCACAAAATCAGTTATTATATCTGTTATTTTCCATACAAGGTTTGTTTTTCTTGACTTTGCAAGGTTATAGCTAGACATAATACTTTTTTAATAAATTCTACGTTTTACCATTGACAAGTAATTGGTTCTACAAATTACCATCAACGAATCTAATTTTTACGAAATACCATCACACACGCACTTTTCTTTTTCTTTTTCATCGTTATTAATGGACTATTAGTTGATTGACTTAGATAAACCCCATATAAAAAGTTCACTTTACCCTAAAATATAAGGACTGCCTAAGCTGATATTGCACTTCTAAGGGTGGTCTCTAGAACACCACAAAATAGATTTTTCTCCCGCCTCCTCTATATACTAGTACTAAGTACTTATATAGTACATGGGGAACCTTGAGTAAAGGGATCGGACAAATCTATTATAACTTATTAAAGGAATAGTAAAAGGAGCCTTCACGTTCACTCTCACAGCTTAGAAATTCTCACATTAATCGGGGAAAAAGAAAAAACAGAGTCCATATAGGAATACAATTTAAAAACAGCTGAAACTCGGAATTTTAAATAAGGAATATAGAAAAAAGAGACTAGAGTCCATACCGGTATACAATTTTGAACTGTTTGAAATTCAGAATTAAAAAATAGGAAAACTAAAACTAGAGGTCAGAGTCCCTATAGAAATACAATTAATAAGAAATATTGAAAGAAGATTATATAGCCCATATAGAATATAATTTAGAAAAGAATAAAATTCGGAATTAAAAAATAAAAAAATATTAAAAGATGAGTTTAGAGTCCATATAGAAATACAATTAGAAACAACGAAAATTTGGAAATTAAAAAAGGAATATTGAAAGAAGATTCTAGAGTTCATATAGGAATTTAGAACAAACTGAAAGTCGAAATTAAGAAAAACAATAAAAGTAGAGTTTAGAGTCCATATAGAAAAATAATTTAGAAATAATTAAAATTAAAAATTAAAAATTAAAAATAAGCAATATTGGAATAAGAGTCTAGAGTCCATATAAGAATATAATTATTTTGGAATTAAAAAAAGAATATTGGAAAAAAACTTAGAGTCCATATAGGAATATAATTTATAAAAACATAAATTCGAAATTAAAAAATAAGAATATTGAAATAAGAATATAAGGTTCATATAGGAATTTGAACTAACTGAAAGTCATAATTAAAAAAAATTAAAAGTAGAATTTAGAGTCCATACAGAAATACAATTTATAAATAACTAAGCTTCAAATCAAAATTTTAAAAATAAGCATGATTGGGAGAAGAGTCTAGAGTCCATATAGGAATATAATTTAGAAATAAGTAAAATTCGAAATTAGAAAGTAATAAATAACTATCAATACAATAGAAATTCAAAATTGTGTTGTTATTTTTAATATATCTTAATAATAAATATAAAAATATTTAAGCTATTATATGAGAAAAAAAATATAACGATGCTACCATGCTAGTTAATCTGAAGGCGTGCACTTCAAATTAGTTGTGCAAAGTGTGTGATGACTTTTTCGTATATTGCCTCTACAAATTAATTAATTCCAGCTGGGCAAGCATGCATGTTAGATATATACCTCAGCCTGGCATATATAATTTTGTGTCACTTGTTCATACATATATAACTAGGCATATATAATGATTTAGAGAGAAGCATAAAACTAGCGCAGCACACGACCATTGCAGGCACATATGCTAATGATCTAATATTACCAAATCAACCAAAAGGTTAATGCAAATGATGGGAAAGGGGAGGCCAAGAATTGATGCTCTTCTCATCCGCAGCCATATTAACATTATACAACCACCTAGAACAGATACGGCAAGAGTACGACTAAACATATATATGCACCGGCCTGAGCTATATAAATAGCAATGCATATGTCTTGTCACAGGAAAGCTAGCTATAGGACGGGATTCAGATCGATCGAGAAAAATATATGATGGTCATATCAAACACTCACAATCAGACCAAGCTAGCAAACGATCGAAATCAAACTAGGATCATGCCATAAAAGTACAAACACGTTACTGCAAGCTGCAAAAGTGCATATATAGCTAGCTGCAGCCACTCACACACGCACATAACAGGATAAATATAGTAGCTTGTAACTGACAAAGTGAGTACTAGAGAGCCATGGCCACTTCCTCTTCCTGCCTTCGCCGCCCGACACGTCAATTTAAACTGCTCCCAGTCAACACAATGCATTATGCATCGCCTTTCGCCTCTCCCAGCACCAGCTGTTTCGCCGCCGGCGAACATTGCGATCTTCAGCTGGATATACGCAGGAGCTTGAGATTGACTCAAGCTATAGTGCAACACGTACGAGGCGAGTACGTCTCACGTGTCTCACCTAGCTCTTGCAGACACGGATATATAGGCATATATACCAATTAACTACACTGACGAACTAAACAGTGGCTCGCGCTTGCTGCACCGAGTTCTTATTTGGTTCATACATGGCTAAGCTAATAGTGGCTGATATATATATGCCACTAGGTGATCTAGCTCGATCGATCCCTAGATTATATATGTAGTAGTCCATTCTTAATTAGTTGCAATATATAGTTTGGAAGGCTAGCTGCATCTGCAATTAATATTGCAGGAGGCATATTGCATGCCTGCAAGAGGGGCTTAATTTGGTTTTTGGCAGTTTGGTTAATTAGCGGCGGCGAGCGGCCGTCTCTCGCTGCGCGTTGAAGTAGACGGCGGCGACGGGGAGGCCGAGGTCGTTGTCGGCGGCGAAGCGGCGGGTGCTGAAGTAGTCCCTGGAGGATGGCGGGGTCACCGCCTGACGGCGCTTCTGCTTGAACAGCACGAGGACGAACCTGTGGATGCCAATGTTGGGCTTCGGGCTCTCGTAGCTCACCACCTCCCTCCCTGCGCATACATACATGCATGTATATATATATATAGGTTATTCGTGTAAGTTTGTTCAGAGAAATTAAAGATGATCACAAGCCAATAATCAGCATGCATCATGCGTGTATTGTGCACAGCCATGGGCTCATCAGAGCTCTCGTTTTAATTATTAAACTTGTAAAAGCTAAAGCAAGGTGTACGTATATATATATATATCTGTGAAAAGGACTTACCAAAGGAAGCATCAGTGGTGCCAGGAATATCAGTGACGATCCTGCCAGGGTCAATATATTAATTATGTTAAACTAAAGCGCATACTTTATCAGATTGAGCGCTATTTTATGAGTAGCTGAGCATATATTATATTAGTGATGGCCATTTGTGTTGGTTCAGGTAGGAACTTGCAGTGGTTGTCTACCGGAGGGTGTTTCGCTAGGTAAGAAGTTAATTATTATCTACACTGTACTTCCTCCGGTCATGAAAATATGTTGTCTTAATTAGATATGTTTCATGTCAAACTTTAAATTGAGTCTGGACATCCATATATAATTTTTAAAATATTTATATTGGATGCATGAAAATTATATTAATTGTGTGTAGATTGTCCTAAAAAGGTACTTCTATAAAATTATGAGTTCATATTGTTTTTCAATGTTTTGTAATACAAATTAACAAGGCTGTGTAAATGTCCAAAACATAATGTTTTTTTACCGGAAGGAGTAGCATCAATGACCTAGCTAATTTAGCCATGTATCTGCAGATCACTTCTGGTTTATATTTTTTCATGGATATTTGATACTCATGAGGTTTATTCATGTTTTAACAATAGGAGCCATCTATGGCCTCAGCGGGGATTAATTACTTGTAAAATAATGATATATATTTACCAGTGGAGGTGCTCCCTCAGGTACGGATCACTAGGCCCTGGCACGTCTGGATCTGTCATAACCTGAAGAACATCCACCAACACGCTCATGATTATTAGATAATATCATTATCCTACTATGTTGACATATATTTTCATATCAGATGCACAGAGCTCATAAGCTGTGAAAGCTTGTCAATTTGTGTGCGAGCTGATAATTAATCTGATTAATTATGTCCAGGTGAGGGGCGGCAGGCACAGACCAGTGTGAAGAAAGACCTCAGGTCGCCGCCCTGAACCTCGACTCGCGGCTTGGACACGACCGCCGACGGGAATAACTCGTGGCCGTTGAACACCTGCTTGTTGGAGCTGTAGGTCGCCGTCATCTTCACCGTGGGGTTGAAGTTGTCGATGACCTCTCCGATCACCTTCCCGACGACGAGAGGCTCCAGCACCCTAGACATGGTGGCTAGCTGCAAGAGGCTAATCTCTTGAGAACGTACTGAAGGGAGAGAAGGTGAATACCGGTGATGAGATCGAGAGGGTGTGTGTATAGTAGCTCGTGGTGTGTAGGTAAACACGAGATAAACAGTCTCGAGTGGTTGCTGGTCTTGCTGATGACAATGGGAGGGCCGGCCGGGGCTCTATTTATAGCTGCGTGGAGCCGATGGATCGAACTGATAAGGAAAATGTATAAACAATGTAAAGTATTAGAAAATATGTAAATTGTCCCATCTTCATTTTCGCCTAAATGTACCAGCTGAATTAATTATTAAACTGACACACAACTCCAAAAGGTTTAAAACCTTATTCCTTTTTCACCCTCTTTTTCAATGTTTGAATCTCAAGAAAATAACCTGATTCTAAAATGTGCCATATGAGAGCATTTGTTCGAGTTATAGTATTTACGAGCTTGCTGATAAACAAGGCATAGAACCTACATTTCTCAAAAGAAGAAAAGTGTCTTGCCATCTATATCTGCGCCTACAATGTCCCAACCGGAGGTAGATTCACACATACCGCACTAAATAAAAGGCCTGAAACAGTTAGTCCGTATAGCAAGGACAGTTTAAATCTCACTCTCTTTGAGAGTGCCATTGAAACTTGCTTGAGTGTCTTCTGCAAAAATTGGTTTATTTCCTTTTGTGATAACGATGTGTACGGTACTATATGGAGTATCTGCTTATCAAAATGCCGTGTTCCTTTTTTTCTTTTGCTTGATATAGAAACACTTTGAAAAGGCTGTAGAACACCGAAAAACTTGTAACTATTTTACTCCATTCATAAATATGTATCGTTTTGAGATGGAAGTATATACGGCCAAACCTTAAAACCTTAAATTATTTTTTTTGGAACACAGTTGATACACAAACGCTCGTATATACACGCGGACACTTACCATTATAAACACATACGTACATCCTGCCTCTATAAGTACCTCTGAAAAACGTATGAACCGACATGTCTTGAGACTTGAGATTCACAACGAAATCACCATAGACTTATTAATATATAAAAAATCATTAAGTTTTGACAAGAACAAAAGATATTAGTATTTATCATGAAAAATGCTTCCATGCATGTTTGAAAATTTTCATAAATATATATTAGAAAAAAAATTCAACTTATTGCAATAAAGTTTTCATTGCGAAAAATAGGTTTCTTTGTAATGATGATATAATATTTGTATTGAAGATTGTGTAAACATGTTAAACAACACGCACAAGAGGGAGCATTGGTTAGCACTCGGTAAGCCTCCGTCAGGAGACTTTTCAACCTTCTTGACATGATAGAGCTAGCCTTCCTATCTATACTCCTGCAATTCCGATTTCTTCAGTTTTCGTAGTTTTTTCTCCTTGGGAAACATGATACATGCCGTATTATTTAGTAAAAGTTTGTATTTTGTTTTTTTAAAAAAGACCCTCGTCCATGCGCAAAATCCGTTTTTAGGAACAACGAGCCAACACCGTATCGATCGGTTAAGCCTCGCTCATGAGACTTTTCGACCTTCTTGCTTGACATGACATAGCTAGATTCATACTAGCTCCCTCCATCCTCTTTTATGTATATGACGTTGACTATTAACCAACATCATATATAAAGCAGAGGGAGTATATATTTATTTGACATGGCAACGTAGGAGCATCTTACAATTGGCTGACCACAAATTGGCAGAGGGAGTTTAGACACAAATTTTAACAATTTGACCCTTTACAAAAACTAATTATACAAATAAACCATGGCCAAAACTTATTTCAAAAATAACCCTTTTTTTCAGCGCCAAATCCTATGGCGCTGAAGTTAGACACCTCAGCACCAAATAACGTTGCGCTGAATATGAGTTGGCACGCCGACTCAGACTCCCATCCACGGTGGCACGACATTCAGCGCAAGTTGACGTGGCGCTGAGGCGTCTAAGTTTAGCGCCATGGGATTTTAGCGCTGAATAAAAAGGGTTATTTTTGAAATAAGTTTTGGCCACGGTTCATTTGTATAATTAGTTTTTGTAAAGAGTCAAATTGTCAAAATTTGTGAAAGTTTAGAACTCCTACAAAGCTCAAGGAAGAGTCATATTTAGCATAAATAGGAATATTATTTGAAAAAAAATATTAGCAGGGTGGTTCTCTCAGCTTGATAGTGATTCAAGCAAGCTTATGCATGAGTTTATTGATTGCCTCTCATATGGCAAAAACATCATTAAACAATCCTTAGGCGTCAGAAGCAGGGAAGCTGTACTTTGAGATTAAAATGCAAAATCATCGCCTGTGCATCTTCTTTATTCCATCTAGCAAAGAACCCAACTCATCCTTCCTAATAGTTATAGATCTATGGTATATTTTAGATAATGAAAAAAAATTACATTTTCGACTTCTGTTATAAAACACACACAGCCTTAAATTTATTAACAGATCTAAGATATATGGGTGTGACTATTATTACTCGGCTTCTCCCTTCCCAACTCCACAAAGAAAATAAAATTGATGAAAGAATATACCCTCCCACCCCCCTTCCCCTCCCCCCCTTCTCCTCCAATAACATAATGATATATGGATTTTAGATATTAAGGGTCTGTTTAGCACAGCTCTAGCTATACCTCTTTTGGAGTTGGAGTTCAGCCAAATAGTTTAAGCTCCACCTAAAATGGTAGTGAAACTGGATAAAACCCTATCACAAAATGAACTAGAGAGATGAAGTTGGGTTTATGCTGCTACATAACTCCACTCCAGACCCAACTTCTGAAGTTAAATTTAGGAGTTGGAGCTCTACCAAACAGACCTTAAGGTTAAGGTGAGTGATAAAATCAGATAAGATAGTGTTGCGATTGGTTGATGTGAGAAAGTAGGTGGAATGTCATTGGATAAATTTTAAGCTCTATATGCCATTATATTTGTAGACAGAGGAAGTACATCTATATGAAAAATAAAGATGGGTGATAAAAAATAAGAGAAAAACACTAGTACAAGAATACAAAACAGGAACATGTGGGGGGCAAAGTAATACTTGAAAAGAAATTTGAATGTCTCAAAAAAAATGATAGAAAAAGTTAGAAAATGGAGGAGACCGGAGAAGATAGTAACATTTGAGGTCAGCTCTCCCCCCTCCCCCCTTAACATAAATCTCCATGAGGACACACAAGAGTAGGAAGATATATGCTCATCCAAATATATACTCCCTCCGTTTCAGGTTATAAGACGTTTTGACTTTGATCAAAGTCAAACTGCTTTAATTTTGGCCAAGTTTATTGAGAAAAGTACTAATATTTTCAACTAAAGACAAATTTATTATGAAAATATATTCAATTATTGATTTGATGAAACTAATTTAGTATTATAAATATTACTATATTTGTTTATAAACTTAGTCAAACTTAAAACAATTTGACTTTGATCAAAGTCAAAACGTCTTATAACCTGAAACGGAGGGAGTATATATATGGCGTGTTTCAGCTATACGGATGATAAGCCAATCAGGCATGTAAACATAAACGAAGTAGTTAAAAGTAAATTATGTATAAAACTTTTATATATGTGTTTTTAGTTATTTAAGAACTAAAATTGAAAAATAAATTATGATAAAAAAACCTCAAATCAACTTAAAATTAAGTTTCGTAATTTAACTTTTTTTGTTATGGCTGGTAAGCCAACAAAATCGACAATAAAAGTAAAAGGCATACGGGGACAATAGAAGTAACCGTTAGCTAGGTAATCTGCTGTTGGCCGCAAAATAGCTTGTCGCATGATCTACCTAGCTAGCCTATACGGGGGCATATATTTTTGCTGAGCCGCTGAGATCTTGGCTTGATAAACGAAGTTCGATCGATGTTCATTTTCTCTTTTGAGTTTGGGGCACTTCAACTGAAATGAGATGGTTCTCAAGAAAATAAATAAATAGTTCTAAAGAAAACTCTGGTGAGATGATCGGTGAATCCGCATGTCAAGTCAAAGATGGCTGCATGCCTACTTTGCCAGAAATGCGAATTTGCCAGCTCTGATCAACCATTTTACCTTTAATTAGCCATGCGATTGATATGAACTGTACGTGTGAAGTCTCTGTGGCATACCAACTTGACAACTTCACTTTTTAGAATACCACTAAACATAAATAAAACATGCCAACCTAGGAACGATACGGTTTCAATGGCATGCCGCGTTTTGATGGCTGGCGAGATAGGCAGCTCAGCAAGTGATCGATCGATCAAATGACAGGGATAATATAATTAGCTTGGCTTTTTTTGGCATCATCTGGTGCTTCTTTTTTTTTCTTTCTCGATAACCACCATTATTTCTTCTGGCGTGTGGAACGGCTACTACTTTTTCTTATTCCTTGATGCGCAAATGTGCCTGCTGCAATGTGACAGATGACGCTGCATTCATGTACGTCATATCAAAGTTTTTCAAGTTTCAACTTGGATTAGTTGGACATTCTCGACAAAATGTTAATTGTCATTATATTACATTGATGGTGTTGTAATAAAGATCGAACAAACGTTCTATAAACAGAATTGCACTAAGATGGACTTGCTATTAATTCTTGATATGATATATATTCTCGTGACAATTGTGAGGTTATCCCAAGTCCCAAGTGCCAAGCTAGAGGTGAGCATAAAAGTGAAACTAATTTTAAAGCTAAGGTGGGAGCTGATCTCTTTCCACTACATCACAAATTAAATAGCTGCTTGTTGGAACAAGTGCTATATAATTAAGCTCAATCATCAAACTAATTTGCAGAGAATTTTTTTTTTCGAATAAGAGAATTTGCAGAGAATTAAGCCAGGCAGATCCTGAGCTGTGTGCTTTTCATTAGGCAAATTAAGTTAAGTGTTCTTTTGTTTCCATAAATGCCTGGGGCCAACTTGCATGAAGCACATGTTCTTTGCCATCTTTTGCCTGGCCAATCTTAATTTGGTCTTACACTCTGAAACTCCTGATCTGATCTGTACTACCTGAGCAATGGAAGGCAAATCATAATTCATTAGTTTTATTATAAGAGCCCCTGAAGTATACTCCATCCCATTTTAAATGCAGTTATGGCTTTCCTTCTCCAACGTTATTTGATCGTCCGCTTTATTTAAAAAATTTATAAAAAATAAAAGAAATCATGTATAAAGTACTATTTATATTTTATCATCTAATAAAAAGCTAATTATAAAAAAGTTTCAAATCAGATGGACGCTCAAATATTGGATATTGAAACTCATAACTGCACAATATATAACGGAGAGAGTACTTGATATAGTAAAACAGAGAGCGTC